CCGGAGTGCTTCCTAAGTAAATATTTTCCTTCTCCCTGTTTATGGGTTGCACAAGCTCATTGGTGCTGGCAGAAACCCTCCTCCATGCAGAGGGAGAAGCAGGAGAAGCTTCTTTMAATTGCATTTAAGTTAGGGAGGTAAGTGCTGTGTGAGCCCAGGATGTCCCTGGCCCGGGGACGTGTTTCACCCTCCGTGAGCAGCGGAGAAAGGGAATACACTGAAGTGCTTTGCACATCCCCACATCCTCCTCTTTGCTAGGCACYGAGTCCTGCTGTACCAGGAACCCACGTGCTCCAACCTGCGTGTCAGGAGTCCAGGATATTCCCACTGACACCTTTTTTAAGGTGAAAACTCGCTTAATTAACACATACCRGTTTCCAGGAGAGCAAACTGTGCATTGCTAGAGGAAGAGCGACCCAAGGTGCTGCCACGCTCCAGAGTGCAGCTGTAGCACAGAGCAGAGAAAATAAAATACACCAGGAGAGAACATGCTTTGCTGGGAAAGGAAACAAATAGAACTCCAGAAAATAAACTGGTTGCCTCAGGGCTTTGCTGTTCAGGCTCGTGTGGCTCTAAGTGGCAGGGTTTGTTTTCAAAGCAGCTTTGAACCTGTCCCTGGTTGCAGATGTGTCCCAATGATCCCTGGTGCCCTGGGATCACTGGGATGGGTGTGATGTCTGCTGCGGTGCCAGGATGCTGCACTGGGTAAGGGATGGAAAGGTTCGGGATATCAGAGGCTCTGCTCCGGGCTGGTGCACGAGCGACACGCGCCCAGCTGTGACCTGGAGCAGCAGGCAAAGGGTGGCTGCTGTGGTGGTCAGAATGGGAAGTTCTTCTGAAAATCTGTTTTTATTTCAATGCAGGTAAGCAGGGAATAATATGGGTTAAGTGTTTTAAAAGCATTCCTTCCAACTTTGCTTGAATGATGGTCTGTTCAAATGAAATATTTCCACTGGAGCACATAAATGGCAGGATGAGGATGCATGTGTCTATTGGTTTGCAATTGGACTCTCCTGACCCTCGTGCAGTATTTATATTACCAGCATCTTCATGGGCAGCCAGGTGACCTGAACTGTCTTCTTCCAACAAAAGTGAACATCGTAACTTCATTGGCCTGTAAAGAAATGATTTAGGAAATGAGGAGGAGGAACTTCCCATGCCTTTCTCATTGGCATTCACCACTACTGCTGAAGTGAGGGGAGATAGCCAAACACATAAATATAAAAAAGAAGATAGAAGCATAGCCATGAGAAGAAAGAGGATTTTTTAACAGCGTTAGATTTTCTATCATCTCCTTTGCYAATAGATTCCCAGTCAATGCATCCTACACCAACATCTCTGTAGCCCTATTTGCTTTAACAGGAATGATGCTAAATTTAGCTAGTCATACATTTCTCAGGAAGTGGTAATTAATTGGACAATATTTGTACAGAGCTTTGAAAATGTAGGACCTAATTTTGCAAACCCTTTGTCCATAATGCAGATTAATTTAATCACGTAATTACCGCGTTTCTGGAYTTTGGCATGCAGTTACCCAGTTCATATGTGAGTTATAATAATTTTCTGTGTAAACCAGGAACAGTTGTATTCCTAAAAATACTGTGTGCGCACATTTGAAAATTGGGATCACAGATAGCACCTCATTACTACAGTTTGATTTAAAAGGTATCTTGCACTTTTAGACCTTCTTTCTGAACGTGATCTACTTTTGCTTATAACCTTTCAGCAGGAATTTGCACAGCTCAGTTGGGTGTTTGGAAGGGTCTCCTAACGTGTTAATCTCTCTCTTGATGGGGGGAGCTTTTTGCAATAACTAATTTTATTTGGGGCAGCTGCTGCTTTCTTTGTGGCTGTGTAACTTGCTGGCTCAGTGTTATTGATCTGTGTTAAGTCTTACGCCATCTTCATAGGAACACACTTTGCTATGTGAACTGAAAGGGCTTTTATTCTTCCTCAAAAATTGTTTGGGCATAACTAGRCCAAAAAGATTTTATACTTAATTTAATTTATTATTTCAAATATTTTCCTCCCTAGGCCCTGCATTAGTTAGTTGCTCCAGCACCTTGCAGCTTTAGCAGTGAAGGACCTACTAATTTCAGCCTAAATTTATTTATGGCCACTTCATACCCATTTGTTCTTGTGTCAACATTGTCCTTTAGTTTAAATTGCTCTTTTGCCTTGCTGTGTTGATGCTGCTGCTGTATTTATAGCAGCAATCATAACTGCTCTGAGCCTTTCTGTGCTGGACTAACCAGTCAAGCCCAACCATCCTCCGTCAGAGCAAACATCTAGTAACTATTTATCGTAGCAATTTCATTTCTCTGCTTTGGTCCATTTTTTGTTTCCCTACTGTAGTTTCTGCCCCTGCTATTTAAAATGTGACTTTTATTAAAGAAAAAAGAAAGGGGAATAAAAAGGAGAATATGAGAATTATTCTGCACGATGAAAACCCCATCAAGAAAAATGTMTCTTATGCTTGAGGGCGTGGGGCTGCTTGGTTTTTTATAAATGGTCATAATGATAGCAATAATAGTAGGATAACAAACTAAGATGCCCCTGGAGATGTTGTGACAAATTGGAGAGACATGTTGAAATTAAAATTGATTGAGTAGTTCAATAAAATCAGCTTAATGCACAAAAGCAAAAAGGTTAGCTGGAGAAAAGCAAAAAAAAAAACCCAGTAATTTCGTATCTGTTGGGGCCAATCTGAGTGAAGATGGAATTAGATAAAAACCAAAACAAAATACATCGAGGTGCAGCTCTTACATGCCCAGGCTTGGCGTTCAGTTGAAATTGGACATGGATGCCAACTGCGTGCCATAATGGCTTGACAAATCCCCATCTCCTCTCTTGAAGGTGTTTCTCTGTTTTATACAACTTTACATTACAGTCAAGGTAATGCAAAGTCTCCATTTCAGTTTGCATTGTGAATAAGCCTTTTGTGGCTGGTATCATTTGTACATAACTGATTTGGGATMTTTTCATTCTTGGCTGTGTTTGCAACAGGCTGCCTTTTATGCTCTTCCTTAAATTTAAGAGAATTGTAAATTCTGGCTTGGTTTGGGGCATTTGATTAACACTGGGCCAAGATACTCAGTGAAATGCCTTTGTTAAATAAACATTACAGCCCCGACGAGATTAATAAGTTGGGGTCTTTGCATGCCCACACATGCACAGGCATGTGTGCCGTTTTTATATATAAAACCTCATATTTGTTTGGTTATTTATTTACGGAGAAAAGTAGTGCAATTAACACAACTTTCAAACGAGGCTTCCTCGTGCTCATGCTGCTCTTGTCCAAGATGATCCATTTCCCACTGCGAAGGAGCCCCATGTAGATGGAGCTYGACCTTCCGCCAGGTCTGCACTCCCTGGAATCACTTATATCGCTCTCCTAAAGCCCTAAATCCTCTAGAGGTAGAGATTGTGTTCATTAATAAAGGTACATCAGCCTTATGATTTGCCTGTGCTTTACAAATAAAGTAATGAGTAGTATCTTTTTGTGTGGTGGAAACGGGATAATGATCGTTTCCTCTCTCATGTTTTACTATRGAAGGTGACAGGAGACATAAGGGAAGTGCATTTCCGTAATATATTCTGAATGCAAGTCGCTGATGGAGTTTTATGTCTGATGCCATGTCATTTAGCAGGTTAAAATCTGTCAATTAAAAGTCCTGGAACCAAGATAAAGCAAAAACTGAGGAATCAGTGTTATTCCAGCAACTCAGCAAGTATTAAACTATTCACCRCACTATGAGAATATTTATATAGGAGAACGAGATCTAATTGACCCAATTCTCACATTTTGAAATGTCAAAGGAGCTACACGTAGCGTCGGGAGAGGAAAGGAGCAGCTTATTCTCTGGTGTCTGAGCAGGATGCCAAAAGCCAGATGCAACACAGCGCACCGGCGGCTCCAGCAAAGCCTTTCCTCCCATTTAACCCACCGGCCATGCTTTAGTAAAGCTTTTCCTACATCACATTTCTGCCTCTACTTCCACATCCTTCAGACTGGCCCTGCCAGGTGCCCTGCTCTTCCTTCTCCGGCCCTTCCTTGCCCTAAATCGGACTGATTTTGCTGGACCCCTCCTTGGTTCTTTGCACATCACGTTGGCTGCTCTTATTTCAGGACAGGAGCTGTGATTTCCCTCCTGCCTTTTAAGTGCCTGGTGTGCTATTAGTGTGAGGCGGGCAGGCATCAACACTAAATTCTGCAGATCCAGATGAAAATTTATGGTCAGGGCCAGTTAGGAGATTTTTCTCAGTGCAGGCAGATATTCATAAGTAAAGAGGCATCCCAGGGAGATTTACACACATGCAAGCTGAGATGTTGCTCTCTCCTATTTTATTCAAATGTATTTTCTGGCTGCATGGACATACAGCATAAGTGTCTTTTATAAGAGCTTTAGTGTCTGCTGGTTTGGCTTTCTTTGTGAGACTTTTTTCTTTGATAGCCAACTTGGTTGGGACATTCAGGAATTTAAAATAGTTCAGCTGAGCTTTTGTCTRTTATATTTGAAATTCTTTTTCATACTGGACTTTCAGCATTGAAACATGGGGAGTGTTACAAGCATCAAAATGCTTTCTGGGCATCAARCTGCGTGAGCAGAGCTAGCTGAAAGACTGCTAGGCAACGTTGCTAGCAATTTGTGAGTGCATTGCTTTTGGTGCTGTTTTCAGTGAAAACAAATTAGTCTTTTTTTACCGATTTGAGGAAGATGGAAACTAATGTAGATTAAAATGCTTAAAAGCTGGCCATAAAGTCTTCTTCAGCCAAAGATTTTTGCCCATAATATTTTTATTTCATGTAAAACCGGTGATACCTGCATTCCATGCAAAAATGCCTTGCAGACTATGATAAACAATTTTATCTGTCTTTGCCATTAACATTTTGAATCTGAGTAACTTCCTAGTCTGCCTTAAGATTGGATAGAGGGAAAAAAAAACAGATTTTTTTACCAAATTCATTTTAGTTTCTCCTTTTTTTTTCTTTTTTCCAGAAAGTCCAGCAGTATATAGTGATCGTTCAAGCCACGGATATGGAAGGCAATCTTAACTATGGTCTCTCGAACACGGCCACTGCGATCATCACGGTGACGGACGTGAATGACAACCCGCCCGAATTCACCACGAGCACCGTAAGTCTCGACACATGAACCGGCCGTGCGCAGACACACGGGGTGTTTGCAGCACAGCAGTGTTTGTATCACCCCTCTCTCTCGGCCGCCTTGTCAGGCAACGGGAACTTGATGGATAACTCTGGAACAAGGGTTTTCAGGGAGAAAAAAAAGGAAAAAAAATGATTCATGAACTAACAAAACTTTTTGGTGACCARTTTCACTGAGGAGCTAAAATAATGTGGCAAACAGACTATGTCTGATTGCACCAAAGAGGATACAGTTGTTTCACAGCAATTGACTGTAGACATATTTGAGTTATTATTACTTACGAGCAAGATCCTGAGCAGTAAGAGATTTGGGGAGTTTAGTAGCCTGGATACAATTTCAAAGAAGCAGTAAATACTCTAAATGRGAACGGTTACTCAGTAAAATTTATATTTCACTGATCACTCTAACAGATGTATTTGTGTGCGCCGGCAGTAAATGTGTAGGCATACTTCACTACATGTGTTTTTAATCAGTTTAAGGTCTTTCTAATATGAGTACAATATTTCTCTCCTCCATTCTCATGTGCTCCAAGTCTTTATCACTGGGGAAGAAGGAGAGAAAACATAAAAGGTTGCAAATGACAAACTCTGGAGCTGATGAAGGTGATTATGAAAAGACAGAAGGTGAAATGATGTGGGTTGTTTCTTTGCAGCCACATAATCCACAGAAGTAGAGCATCCTAAATGTAAATGATACTTCTGTATACCATTAAACAGGAATCTATATGATGATAAATGACAGCTCGTTGGGTATCCACAGTCCTTATTTACATAAAGGTTAACATGGAAAGGGAAATGATGTATTTAAAACTGCTACCAAACCTCTAGAAATGCAGAAAGTCAAACTGCATTATGTTTGCCACTGAATATCCCTTCAGAAATATGTTGTTACTTACGTTACTCCAAATTTTCGTTCCATATTAAAGGTTATACAAGTCCTTATTCCTATAGTGGCAGATTTCCCCTTGGTTATGCCCTTTGCATCAAAGAATATTCAATAAGACTCAAGGAACTGATGAAAAATCCAACTTATACCCCATGGCTCATGGGGCCCTGGGCTCTGTCTTGGGACATGCCAGCTCCTGAGCACTGCCAGCACCTTGGATCTAGATTCTCAGAAAGARGGAAGTCCTGAATTCATCCCAAATCAGATAGAAAAGGGCATTTGTGAATTGGGACCTCAGTACAATTGAGSTGGATTGCTCTTCCAGAGGGCTTACCTTGCATTTTACAGCCACATGTGTGCTCTCTAGCGCTCACGGTGCCTACACTGAGCTTTACATTCTACATTGTCCTTAAATATCTCCCAAAGTACGATCCTAGAAAGACATTAAAATCTGATAGGAGCCATGGTCCATATGGTCCTTTCTCCTGCCAGCTCAGGATATTCCTCTGTCCTGAAAAATTTGTAGTGGTTGGTCCAAGTCTCCAAGCCCTGACACCTTCTACTGCCTGCAGTCCATCTATGTGCTCCAAATTGGGGGGACCTGTTTTCTGCCAGGTAAATGCTTCTTCAGCCTTCACGTGAGTGAAAAAGTMATGACATCTAGTGGCCATGTCATTTAAGCACAGGTTCCTTGGGGTGACCCTGGTTTCCTGGTCCTTGTCCCCAAATGGAGCTGGAAGGGGAGGCTGGAGATACAGCACTGGGATGGGTAGGTTGGGTTGAGCACACGCTCCCCCATGAGCTTCCAGGGGTATGGTATATTTTTAAATCTTTCACATTTTCCCAATGTGAAAATGTGGGATCTGAGGGAAGGTGAGATCCAGCAAATTTGCTTTCAGGTGAATTCTGAATATTTAATGCCTCGGAACGTGGTAGAGCTAGAAGGAATAAAATCCACCAAGACAATTACCTACAGAATCAAGTTAAATGGATCAGAAAATGCTACTCTTCCTCTAAGCAGGGTTGATGTTTTCCATTATTTCTCTTAATTTCAATCACTGAGGAAGATTTTTTGCAAGGGCCAAAGGGCTTTATATAGTAGCACATGGGACTTTGAAACCCAAGGACATTTTCCAGCATTATTTTCTGGTTCTATGGAAACAACTATCTTTGCTATACTCCCAGGTACATCCACAATGCAATTTTACGTGAGTGTGAATGTATAATATAGTTTTTCCTGTGATGGGCRTAGAGAACAGCATCAGACTAATCAGTCTCTTTAAACTAAATCTTCTTGTTGTCCCCAAATAGTCTGATCTGCATTTKAACACCTTTAGAGAATAGCCAAAAAAAATTATTTCCAAGAAACCCAGAGTTCCTTGCAGGGTAAGAAAGCAAAGGTTCTCTTGAAAGACTCAGAGCTGTTGGAGGGATGCGGTGTATTGCTATTTAAAATATTTCTGTATTGAAATGCCCTTGTAAAAACAAAGCCAGCTGAATAAGTGAAATAGTGGTTTTTTGGAAAGTTTCCAGGTRAAAGGAGCAATACCCAAGCACAGGAACATACACACGCTATCGTGTGCCTAAATTACCTGCCATTCAATCAGAGTGAGTTTAGACTTAATAGTTTCTGGATATAAATATAGCTCAGGAGGACACCGCACCATGCTGGTGCCACAGCTCGTGTGTTGAGCAGCAGGAATTAATGGTACTGGGTAAAACTTAACAACTGGACAAGAGAGGAAAAAACAGCCACAGGGAGGGACAATAATGTCCGATGGGCCCCGTAGTCAGCGCCCTGCTCGTCCATCAGGCTGGTGAGACAGTGCATGGAGCAAATGAAAGCTCACAGACAGGGAGATGATGGTGCCAGAATTTCCTGTCAAGGGTTGTGGGTGACCCRTGGAGATGTTTTGGTTAACAGGCGTCCAAAATATCAGATTTTCCTGTGATAAAAATTCARTGCTAGATGAGAAATGAAAAAGGAGCAATAAAAGCACAGGAAGATCCTTAAATGTACCGACTGAAGGTACTCCAATAAAACTCAGAAATGACTGTTTGCTAACATGACAGCAGATCGATAYGTTTTTCATATTCTTTAGTACCTCACTTGAAAGCCCGGGGAAGGATCCTGTACCAATAACAGGCGAAGAAGAAACTCTTCAGAAACAAAGGGTTCTGAAATGATATTAAAAATATCACAGTCTCTAGAGGAAACAGCATTTTCAGCTAAAGTCAGCATTAAGTCTCCGCACAGAGTCCTGCCTGCACGGAGAGGCCACCATCAGGCTGGGCTTTTCTGCATCGAGCTCGCTGGGTGCGGTGGCCTCCTCCAGCCTGCCCAGGCCTGGCTTTCGTGCTGGGAATATGCCCTGTTTGATGGGCAAATAGGCTATTTGGTGGTGCTGGGAAGCATCAGAGAGCCACCAGTGGTGAAATGTCCCTTCCAAGCAGTAAACGAGCCCATCTGCACAAAAAGAGCAAAGTGTGAAACATTGTTAGCATCACAGACTGTTCTTTTGGGCAATTTGGATGATTGAGTGTAGGGCTGTGGCCCAGGGARCATTCTCCTGGCTAGTTAAGGGTCTGAGCAACTCTCATCACTGGATATAAAACCATGAAGTTTTGACTGAACTATTTCACAAAAGTCTTGTAGGGAGTTTTAGTAGAAAACTGGCCCAGAGACTGTTACAAGATACTGGAATCAGCAAATCAACGTGCCCCCTGTTATCCATAGCCCCAGTTACTCCTACCAGGGTCATGTCCTCCCCCATTTCTTCATCATGTGAAAATTCCTCTACCCCCCAAATACTTATCTGCTGTGCACAGACAAGTTGAAAGGTTTTTTTTCCATATTAATATAGATCTGTAGCTGAGCTGCTATCCAGATGCTCACCTCAGATAGRGAGGCACACACCAAAATTAATATCAGTGTTTCCAAGATTAAAAGTCAGCCGAGAYAGGGCAGTGTGGCTGGTCTCAGGTGGGGCTCTTGGCCAAGTGGAGGCTCCTCTTTGCTCTCTGAAGAGCTGCCTTTAATTCCAGGGCAATCTTTGGCTCCTCTCAAGCAGGATGCCCTTTCCAGCCTGACCCATGATACTGTTAATAGCCATCCAAGGGTTTCCACTTTATCTAAGGAAATGCATAATCAGAGGGGAGGAGAAGTAGAAGAAATCCATGCCTACACTTGACTCATATAAAGTCTATTTTTATCGTATTCAATCAGGAACAATCAGGCACAGAGAGGAGACGCAGATGAATTTGCATGATCAGACTTCTGTGTCTTAAATGTTAATTAAAAGTTATTTTAAATTTGCCTACTGTGCAGAACTTGTTTTTATAGTAGCCCATGCAAGGGAAATATTATTTCGCAGGACTGAAGTGCCCATGATTAGTTGAGCTTGTGGGTTCTTGGGAAAACCTGCCTAGCAATCAACCTTTCCTTTAAAAAAATGAAAGAAAAGGGGGGAAAAAAAGAAAAAGAAAAAGAAAACTGGGCTATTCAAGTTCTTTAAGCTTCTGAGCCTTAGGAGGTCTTATTTAAAGCTACTTTAAAATTTGCCCTTTGGCACCGCTTTGAGAATCTCTTCTTCCGAGGCTGAATCCAGTGGAACACATTTTAAAGAGCCAGCTCGAGGAGCGCCTGGCAGATGGCTGCAAAGTCGGAGCAAATCCGCTGCCGCAGAATAACCTCGGCGAAGGTAGATGCCCTTCTTCTGGAAGACCTTCAGGAATGGCAGTTCCCATTCAAATTCCTTCCTTTTGCCCAGATTTGTATATAGTAATCCAGATGGGATTGATGTTGTCTTGAACAAGAAAACTGCTATTTTGAGGGTTCATTTTTGCCTTTTTCCCAGCCACCGACTGCAGTCCCCGTGGTTTACTTGCTCTGCAGACTTTCCAAAATGCTGTGCAAGGATATGCCAAACTTTTGTTCCTTACTCTGGGTTTGTTCTCAGTGTTTGAGGACAAGAGKCAGCTGTGCATCAGGCAGGGAGAGCACACAGCTTCCCAGCGCTGCAGAAATTACTTCAGCTGTGAAAATATGGTGACTTTTTTTGCAAGTAGCAAGGATTTGGGTGAAT